AAAACGGGGACACCCCCGGAGCAGGGACACCCGGAGCTGGGACACCCGGAGCAGAGACACCCGGAGCTGGGACACCCCCGGGTTTGGGATATCCTGGGAGCTGGGACACCCCCGGAGCAGGGACACCCGGAGCTGGGGACACCCGGAGCTGGGGACACCCGGAGCTGGGACACCCCCGGAGCAGAGACACCCAGAGCTGGGACACCCCCGGGTCTGGGATATCCTGGGAGCTGGGACACCCGGAGCAGAGACACCCTTGGGTCTGGGATATCCTGGGTTTGGGATATCCCAGGTTTGGGATATCCCCGAAGCCGGGACACCCAAAACGGGGACACCCCCGGAGCGGGGACACCCAGAGCCGGGATATCCCAAGAACCGGGACACCCAAAACGGGGACACCCCCGGAGCGGGGACACCCCTGGAGGGGGACAGCCCCAGGTTTGGGGTACCCCCGGAGCCAGGACAGCCCTGACTTTGGGATACCCCCAAATCTGGGGTACCCCCAGAGCTGGGACACCCAAATTTGGGATATCCCCAGATTTGGGACACCCCGGATTTGGGACACCCCAGATTTGGGACACCCCGGATTTGGGACACCCCGGATTTGGGGTGCCCCCAGGTTTGGAACACCCCTGGATTTGGGACACCCCAGATTTGGGACACCCCAGATTTGGGACACCCCAGATTTGGGATGCCCCCAGGTTTGGGACACCCCAGATTTGGGACACCCCCAAAGCTGGGACACCCCGGATTTGGGACACCCCAGATTTGGGACAGCCCCGGATTTGGGGTGCCCCCAGATTTGGGACACTCCGAATTTGGGACACTCCTGGGTTTGGGGTACCCCTGAAGCTGGGACACCCCAGATTCGGGACACCCCAGATTTGGGGTGCCCCCAGAACTGGGACACCCCAATTTGGGATATCCCCAGATCCAGGACACCCCAGATTTAGGATACCAAATTTGGGACACTCCAGATTCGGGACACCCCAGATTTGGGACGCCCCCAGATTTGGGACACCCTGGATTTGGGACACCCCAGATTTGGGGTGCCCCCAGGTTTGGGACTCTCCAGGTTTGGGACACCCCCAGATTTGGGACACCCCGGATTTGGGACACCCCAGATTTGGGACACCCCGGATTTGGGACACCCCGGATTTGGGACACCCCGGATTTGGGGTGTCCCCGGCTCGCCCGTCCCAAGGGAGGGGTGCAGGGTCAGAGACGGACAGAGAGCGGCGCCGGCACGACGCGCCCGCCGCAGGATGGACTCGGCCAACTGGACACTGGCCAACGGCTCCTCTGCGCGCACACTCGGCCAATCGCAGCTCCGGCCACAACTGGACATCGGCCAGTGGCCAGTTTGGTCAGCGGAAGGCTCGGCCAATCGCAGCTCTGGCCACAACCCCGGTGGCCAATGAGAAATTTGGTCAACGGAAGGCTCGGCCAATCGTAGCTCTGGCCACAACCTCGGCCACCTGGACATTGGCCAATGGCGAGTTCAGTCATTGGCCAACTGTAGCCTTGGCCAGCTGTAGCCTTCTGGTCAACTGGAGTTTGGCCAGTGGTAGCCTCGGTCACCCGAAGCCTTGGCCGGTGGTAGGTTGGCCAATGGTAGCCGGGGCTGCCGGTAATTTGGCTAATTAATTTAGCCAATGGTAGATTGGCTAACCAAAGCTTAGGCCAATCACAGCTTGTGCCAATCACAGCTTTGGCCAATCACAGCTTGGGCCAATCACAGCTTTGGCCAATCACAGCCTTGGCCAGTCACAGCTTAGGCCAATCACAGCTTGGGCCAATGGTAGCCATGGCTGCTGGGAGTTTGGCCAGCTAGAGCCTCGGCCAATGGTAGGCTGGCCAATGGCAACCAAAGCCTCAGCCAATGGCAACCAAAGCCTCGGCCGATGGCAACCAAAGCCTCGGCCAATGGCAACCAAAGCCTCGGCCGATGGTAGCCCTGGCTACCTGGAGCGGTGGCCAACGGCAGCCCTGGCCAACGGTAGCCTGGCTCACCTTTGGCCAACCACACCACGGGCCAACGCCAGACTGACCAACCGAACCCTCGGCCATCGCTGGGCTACCGGGACCGCTGGCCAACGGCGGCCTCGGTGACCGACTGACCACCCGGAGCCCTGGCCACCGGTCTGCTGGGCTACCTGAACCTCGGTCCAGCTGGCCCTGCGCCTGTAGCCTGGGCTACCTGAACCTTCATGCCACTGGCCCTGCGCCTGTAGCCTCGGCCAGCAGCTGGAGCTGGTCGGTGACCTGCACCTCGGCCTCCTGCAGCCTTGGCTACCTAAATAGGGCCGTCCCTAGCCTCGGCCACCTGCAGCCCTGCTGCTGGTAGCCCTGTCCACCTGTACTCCGGCCACCAACACCGATGGCCGCCTGTAGCCCTGACCGCTCGCCGTTTCGGCCACCTGAGCGCTGTCCGCCTGTACCCTTGGCTACCT